AATATACAGTATATATATATATATATATATTGAAGTATAAGATTCAAGCATGGACCTATTAATAATAAGGTCCATGGTTCAAGATCGTCTGGAGGAGTAGAGTGCTCGATACCGGAGTAGAGCTGAAGACAAAACAAAACGAAGGCAATTATTTGATTCCACTACAACATTGTTTCGTATGTCTGCAGGGCCAACAACACTCTTCAGGTGGATGTGTACAACTGATGTTATTTCAAGGAAAACTTGCATATCATTAATTAATTGTTTATCGGTACTATAGTTTATCATTGGTTTCTTAGCAGGAATTTCCTCCTGTGCCTATACAAGTAGATATTAATTCATTTCTGCAGTTGAGGGAACTTAACTCAGGATGACAAATAATAATAAACTTCTCATGTAGGCATCATTATTGCATCGTTTTGTAGTACAGTATTAGAGTACGGCTTGCATTGTTGTAATTGTATAATTTTCCATTTCATGGTATATTGCGTGTTAGTGTTTTTTAACGTCCAAATATATATACTCAGTTCAGTACTATTTCTGTACTTAGCGTTACGGAATGAGTTGGTGTGATTTCTATATCTAGTTTTAAATTTATTTTCCGTAAGTCCGATGTAAGTTTCTTCTTCCTTGTTGTCGAATTTGGTTACGGTGGCTTGATAGCAAGGGCGTAGACCCGTGACTGAAAGTGGGGGAGGGGGACGAGATGGAAAATAAAGCCTTGGGCCGTAGGCCCAAGCAATGGTTGGGGACCAGGGTGCGAAGCCCCGGAAACTTTGGCGCATATAGCCTTTTAATTGATTTTAAGCAATGCAATTAACATTTATTTCCATACGAAATTTTTAAAATATCCAGTGGCGGATCCAGTAATTTGAAATAGAGCTGGGCCCAGACAGGGACTTTTACAGATGGAGAGTGTAGCTGAACTACCACCACAGCCCCACCATGGTCGGGGCTGAGGTAAGAAAATTTATGATTATGGCACCTCCAGTTGGTCGGAAATGGCACTCGCAGACTAAATTTGAATATAATTTTAATTTTTCTCCACTTTTAAATTTCGAAAAAAAAATAGTGATGGTGGGCCGGCTGGGCCCCTTGAATCTGCCACTGAAATACTCATCATAAAAAGTTTTTTAAATTATCCTTTTTAGTCATAATTATGCCCGCTTATATATTTCGTGCAAACTAACATTCATAAAAATAATGATTTATTATCTACTGATTAGCTTGTAACGTATTCAAAATTCGAACTATGAAAAAAAAATAAGATAAACTTAAAACAGTCATTAATTTAGTCTTTTTGCATGTACAGCACTTTTAAAGTCAATCAAAAGGTTTTTGCTTTTCTCCTCTTTTTGAATTTCACTTTTGTGTAAGTAATATTGCGATAAACTAGAAATTGCAAATTGCAAGTGAAGTGCTGCGAAGTACAACTGCATATAAATCTTCTTCAAACAACATTATTTATGCGAGTCAAGTGAAAATAATGAATAATAAAACTATAACAAATAATATGAGACACGACCCATTGTCTATATTAGAACACTTTTCATTGAGTAACAAAGTCGTAATTTTTCATTTTTGTCAAAAAGTGTCTATGCCTGGGCATTCAGACTGTGTTCTCGGCGCATGTTCTCGGCTCATAATGTTCTCGGCACACGTCATTTTTTGTAGTCTGAACGTGTGCTAATGGAATTTATGTCGAGCACAGAATGTTCTAGCTAGAACCCAGTTGAACCACGTTCTCGGAACAAAATGTTTTCGAACTACGACTCTGGAATGAAGTCTGAACGTGTTCCGAGCAAATAATGTTATAACTGGGCGGGCTTCAGTGACGTGACGTGACCTGACCTGCTTTGACATTTTTCCGAGGCGCAATGTACACATGTTAGGGCAAATATAAAAATTTATTAGATTATCACTTCCGCAAGCGTAAAAAATTCGGGAAATACTGATGCTTGAATAAATTTTTTTCCCGCATCAATTATTTCAACAGCATAAAAATAACAATGCAATTTTGTTACTTTAAATACATTTTCTTTAAAAAACTATAAAATTAAACCTGTTTTTATACAATATTTACTATTACAGACCAAAACAGTCCCCTCCCTCATCGATAAAAACAAAGGCGAAATAGGCCTAATCTATTGTTCCAATTTAAAAAACCGCCCTTCATCATTTTTTTAGATCATAAGAGTGATAATCTAATAATATTTTTTATGTGCTTTTATAATACAGCAGTACTACTGTTCTCTTGATTAATTTATGCTGTAGGCCTAAATGTTTTGGAACAAAACAAAATGCTGAAAACCTGTTCTGACAGAGGAAGCACACGGAGTGCAGTCATCGAAATGAATTGCGTAGTTGAAGTTTGGGAAGAAGGGAGATAGAAGCACAAAATAACAAAGGATCTGGGAATAAGCAACTTTTCCAAAAGGTATCCGACAATCTTGGGATTTCCACGAAGACCCTGGGATCGTATAAGAAACAAATTTAATAAAATGGAAATAAAGTTAGGCTCAAAATGTTACACATGCATAAATGACAAGAACATGGTTTTATAATCTGAATGATCGTATTTCAAGAACTTTTTCGTTCGGTGTGGTATGTGAACATGTGCCGAGAACATAATGTTACGAAAACATTTTATGCCGAGTACATAATCTGAATGCGCGTCAACGTAACACTGGAGTTTGTAAACTTTTGGTAGGCTTATCACTTAATCGAAGTAGGTAGACATCATATCCGTGAAATTAGAAAAAACAGTAATCCTATGTATGTAGACTAGAAATTGCAAATTGCAAGTGAAGTGCTGCGAAGTACAACTGCATAAAATGTTCTTCGAACAAAATTATTTATGCGAGTCAAGTGAAAATAATGAATAATAAAAATATAACAAATAATATGAGCACGACCTATTGTCTATATAGCGTTCTCCGCGATTTACGCGTGCAAATTCTGTAATAAGGCATGAATGGCGCCCTCTTGCTAAATTGGAAACTTTTGACCCTTGACCGCTCGACTTTACCATTAGGGTATCAATCCTGTGAACAGTGCGCTAAATATTAAATCTGTCTCTTATACACATCGATAGGACGCCCTCTTCCAAAGCTGATTACTTTTTCTCTTTGGTATAATAGCGCATGAATGGCGCCCTCTTGCTAAATTGGAAACTTTTGAACCTTGACCGACGCTTCTATTTGTTACGCGTAAATCGCGGAGAACCCTATCTTGTGTTTATAAGATCTTTGGTTGGTACCGTGTACAATAATGCTGCAGTGACATCTCTCTGCTGGCGACTCGCTGCTGCTGGCGATGACTCGCTGCTGGCGAATCGATCTGCGCATGTGTATAAAATGGTATTTATTTCCGAAAACACTATGCCAGTTAGCCTGGGTTCCAGGCCCTAATTTTTTGGTTACTCACTCTTTATTGCACTTAGTGCGCGCCATACCTAAT